TTAATTGGGGCCCCCCATGTCAAATTGGGGGTACTGAATAATTTTCTGAAAGCTTTACTTTATTGGGGCCCCCCGCACTAGTCGGGATTCAACATTAAGGACCCTATCTACAAGTAATTTGGGGGGGCCTTTAAAGTATCATCCAGGTTGCCCAGTATAAGGATCCCTGTTCATAAGTAAATTTGAAGGCCTGTAAAGTACCACCCAGGTTGCCCATGACACCGTAAACCCTAAAGCCTAAACCTTAAAGTACACGTGCAAGCTGTACTCACGTATGTTGTTGGAGAGATGCAAGCGAAGGTTGGGTGAACCAGGTGGAAGACAGTGCTCTGGGCAAGGGCGTCAGCCTACTGACTACATTTACACCATTCACAAGCTCATGCATCTGGAGAGGGAGTGGCGGCTGGGCTTGAGGTGGTTAAAACTTGATATCAGTAAGGCCTTCGATCGGGTGTCGAGAGGGAGACTTATGCGAATGCTGGAAGAGAAGATTGGTCACAACAGGCTCAGCAAGGCGTGGTACGAAATGTTGAAGCCCACGCGATCTCACCTCCAAACCTGTTGGGGCGCGACTACGTTTGAGATGAGAACAGGGATCCGTCAAGGTGCAGTTGAGTCGCCCATGTTTTTCGGGATGTTGGCTGAGCTTTGCGTACAAACCGCATCTGAGAAGTATGGGTGGGCTCCAGAATGCCCTGGGGCAGGCAACCTCCCACTCAGGGATATTCTTTACATGGACGACGCAGTGATGTGGGACGTACAGGCGGAGGAATTGGCAACCAGGGTGGAGCAGTTGGCAAGGGAACTCAAGGAATGGGGACTGGAGATTAACTTGGCGAAGTGTCAATACTATAGTAGCCCGTATGCAACTGGAAACAAGGAACTGATGGTGATGGGCCAGACGATGCACTCAGATAAGCACCTTGATGTCATGGGACTGTGCATGGGGGTTCACAAAACGGCGTGTGAGACATTGGCACCGTTGATCAGTAAAGCGCAGGATGGGTTTTGGGCCATCAAACATATTGTGTGCAGAAGACAGAATCTGCGCAAAAGGCTACAAATTATGGATGTTGTCGTTGGTGGTTGCTTGCTGTGGTGCATTGGGGCCATTCTGCCGGATGCTCATGCATTGGGATCGGTAAATTCTTTGCAGCTACAGTTTGCGGTATGGATGAACCACAAAGGGAGAAAGCCAGGAGAGGAGTGGTTGCAGCATCACATTCGAGTGAGAAGAGAGACGAGAGCCCTACTACACAAGTTCCAGGTACAGAGGTGGAGCACAAGATGGCTACAAAAAGTATGGCGCTATTCAGGACACAGAGCTAGAGGTGTCAACAATCAGGTGCAGGTGGCCAGTGCGAAATTGGACGAGTGGCAACTTGGTTGGTGGCTTGGGGAACAAAACAGGCCTCAGGGTGAGCGACACAAGGGCAGATTTTTTGCGCGGCTGATGCCGCATGAGAAGGCATTGGATCGGGCGGCAGGTGACTCATGGAGATTGGTGGCACAAAACAGGACACGTTGGAAAGAGAGAGAGAAATACTTCATTCAGAACATGGATGTGGGGTGGACAAGTGGAAGACAAGACAGCATTGAATGGCAGTGAGTTGTGCATGCTGGACATGGATGAAGCTGATGCAGATTGCTGTGTTTGGCGGAGATTGTCCAGTGTGGGACAGTAGCAGTGCCCATCTCGACCTTCAGAGTAATGATGCTGGCGGCATGGCATGTGCTGTGCAGCCTCTATGTATGGCGTGAAATTTTGGTGCCGGCTCCCTTGGCAAGTGCGGGGCTGGAGGCTCCTTGCACAGCGGAGGTGAATACAGCCAAGTCGGCAAGTGGTAAGACCTGGCAAGACTTCTTGGGCGGCTACGGGGTCAGCAATTTGCGCCCTGGATGTGGTGATCCCCTTTATCAATCACTGGAAGGCCGTGAAAGACAGGCCATGGCGGAGGACAGGCCATCAAGTGTTGGCAGCTGTGATGGTTACCCTGAACAAAAAGAAGGAGACGCAAGTGTGTTCATGGAAGAAGCCCGCCAGCCGGGCTTCCTGGAAGATGACCGGCTGGACACCTTCATCAACGAACTAGTGGACCGAGTGAGGCAGCTGAGGGCCACGGATGTGCGAGTGGCGAGGGACCTGGCGGTGGTGGTGGGTACGCATATCCGGAGGGGTATGACGAGCAGGTTGCCAAGTTTGAGGCAAGCAAGCGCCAGGATGCTGCCTATCCAGGAAGCTTGGTTTGCGGCCATGAGACACCTGGTGAATGTTCACACGAATGAGAACGGAGAGTGGGCATGGGACTGGTGGGCCCGACTTCGTGTGGCTTGCAGGGCTGCGTCGAGGAGATACAAACGCAGAAGGCTGATGAACCAGATGGTGGAGCTTGACAGCGAAGAGGACGAAGAAAGGGACAGGGACAGGCTGCCGAGGGACGATGAACAAGGCATGGAGGTAGCATCGTCGAGTACTCCTGGTTCGGAGTGAAGTCGGTTGCCGCTTCAAGACGGAGGGATGGAGGACCCTGGTGGCAATGGTGGTGTGGGGCAAAATGCACTGCCGCTTCAAGATGATGAGGTGGAGGACCATGGTGGCAGAGGGCTGACGTATGTGGAGGAGCAGTTTGCCCAGCGCAAGACAGCGATTCGGGATTACAAGAGGTACCTGAACCCATTCGAGGGGAAAATGGAGCTGATGGCCAGGGACTACTTGAAGGCCTCGAGGAATGTGGACGAGCAGTTCGCCCAACGCAAGGCAGTGATGCTGGACTACATGATGTACCTGCGCCTGAGCTGATCGAAGGTGAGGATGAGGCCGGACACATGCCAGAGTCGGA